ACGACTAATCCATCAATAACAAAGCTCTGCATCGATATTTAGACATATATGATGACTTCATCTCTGTAGCTCAATTGGTAGAGCATGGCGCTTGTAACGCCAGGGTAGTGGGTTCGATACCCGGGACCACCCATACGTAAAAATGTATGCACACATGACTGTAAGTCGCTTTGAATAAAAGCGTCTGCTAAATGGCATATTATATTATTTATTATTATTAATCACATTTATTTATAAAGCCCTTTTTACATCAGATGATGTCCCAAAGTGCTTACACAGAAACCCAGCCTAAAACCCCAAACAGCAAGCAATGCAGATGTAGAAGCACAGTGGTTAGGAAAAATTCCCTAGAAAGGCAGGAACCTAGGAAAAAACCTAGAGAGGAATCAGGCTCTGAGGGGTGGCCAATCCTCTTCTGGCTGTGCCGGGTGGAGGTTATAAGAGTACACGGCCATTAAGGCCAGATTGTTCTTCAAACGTTCATAGATGACCAGCAGGGTCAAATAATAATCATAGTGGTTGTAGAGGGTGCAACAGGTCAGTACCTCAGGAGTAAATGTCAGTTGGATTTTCATAGCCGAGCATTCAGAGGTCGAGACAGCAGGTGCGGTAGAGAGAGAGAGAGAGAGAGAGAGAGAGAGAGAGAGAGAGAGAGAGAGGGAGAGAGAGAGAGAGAGAGAGAGAGAGAGGGAGAGAGAGAGAGAGAGAGAGAGAGGGAGAGAGAGAGAGAGAGAGAGAGGGAGAGAGAGAGAGAGGGAGAGTCGAAAACAGCACGTCCGGGACAAGTTAGCACGTCCGGTGAACAGGTCAGGGTTTCATAGCCGCAGGCAGAACAGTTGAAACTGGAGCAGCAGCACGACCAGGTGGACTGGGGACAGCCAGGAGTCATCAGGCCAGGTAGTCCTGAGGCACGGTCCTAGGGCTCTGGTCCTCCGGGAGGGAGAGAGAGAGAAAGAATTAGAGGAAGCATACTTAAATTCATTTGCCTTGCCGTTCACCTTCGCACCCCTGGGCCAGACTACACTCAATCATAGGACCTACTGAAGAGATGAGTCTTCAGTAAAGACTTAAAGGTCGAGACCGAGTCTGCGTCTCTCACATGGATAGGCAGACCATTCCATAAAAATGGAGCTCTATAAGAGAAAGCCCTGCCTCCAGCTGTTTGCTTAGAAATTCTAGGGACAATAAGGAGGCCTGCGTCTCGTGACCGTAGCGTACGTGTAGGTATGTACGGCAGGACCAAATCGGAGAGATAGGTAGGAGCAAGCCCATGTAATGCTTTTTAGGTTATCAGTAAAGCCTTGAAATCACCCCTAGCCTTAACAGGAAGCCAGTGTGGAAAGGCTAGCACTGGAGTAATATGATTGAATATTTGGGTTCTAGTCAAGATTCTAGCAGCCGTGTTTAGCACTATCTCAAGTTTATTTAGTGCTTTATCCGGGTAGCCGGGGAGTAGAGCATTGCAGTAGTCTAATCTGGAAGTGACAAAAGCATGGATTAGCTTTTCTGCATAATTTCTGGACAAAAACTTTCTGATTTTTGCAATGTTACGAAGATGGAAAAAAGCTGCCCTTGAAATATTATTGATATGTTCGTCAAAAGAGAGATCAGGGTCCAGAGTAACGCCGAGGTCCTTCGCAGTTTTATTTGAGACGACCATCAAGATTAATTATCAGATCAAACAGCAGCTCTCTTTGTTTCTTGGGACCTAGAACTAGCCTCTCTGTTTTGTCCGAGTTTAAAAGTAAAACATTTTCAGCCAACCACTTCCTTATATCTGAAACACAGGCTTCCAGAGTAGGCAATATTGGGGCTTCACCATGTTTCATCGAAATGTACAGCTGTGTGTCATCTGCATAGCAGCGAACGTTGACATTGTGTTTCCGAATGACATCACCAAGAGGTAGACTATATAGTGAAAACAATAGTGGTCCTAAAACGGAACCTTGAGGAACACCGAAACTTACAATTGATTTGTCAGAGGACAAACCATCCACAGAGACTAACTGATATCTTTCCAACAGATAAGATTTCAACCAGGCAAGAACTTGTCCGTGTAGATTAATTAGGGTTTCCAATCTCTCCAAAAGAATGTGGTGATCGATGGTGTCAAAAGCGGCACTAAGGTCTAGGAGCACGAGGACAGATGCAGAGCCTTGGTCTGACGCCATTAAAAGGTCATTTACCACCTTCACGAGTACAGTCTCAGTACTATGATGGGGTCTAAAACCAGACTTCTTTTGTTTTTGTAAAATTTTTGAGAGGAATGGGAGATTCGATATAGGCTGATTGTTTTTTTACATTTTCCAGGTCAAGGTTTGCTTTTTCAAGAGAGGCTTTATTGCTGCCACTTTTAGTTGAGTTTGGTACACATCCGGAGGACGGGGAGACGTTTATTATGTTCAACATAGGAGGGCCAAGCACCGGAAGTAGCTCTTTCATTAGTTTAGTTGGAATAGGGTCCATGCAGCTGGAAGGTTTAGAGACCATGACTATTTTTGTGAATGTGTCAAGAGATACAGGATTTAAAAACTTGAGTGTCTCCATTGATCCTACGTCCTGGCAGTTCTGTGCAGACTCAGGACAACTGAGCTTTGGAGAAATACGCAGATTCAAAGAGGAATCCGTAATTTGCTTTCTAATGATCAAGATCTTTTCGCCGAAGAAGTTAATGAATTCATCACTGCTGAAATGAAAGCCATCCTCTCTTGAGGAATGCTGCTTTTTAGTTAGCTTTGCAACAGTATCAAAACATTTTGGGGAATTGTAGAGCTCATCACTCCCCCTAACTGGGAGAGGACCAGATACAATTACTCGATGCCAACACATCTTTCTAGCTAAGTTACACGCTGAAGTTATATTGCACTTGATGACCTCTGACTGTTTCATCCTAACATTGTTGGTGCCGACGTGGATAACAATATCCCTATACCATCTACACTCGCCAGTTTTAGTCTCAGCCAGCACCATCCTCAGATTAGCCTTTACGTCAGTAGCCCTGCCCCCTGGTAAACAATGGATGATTATTTTTAAGTATAATATTGTGGGTAATGGAGTTGCCAAGGGTTTTCTATTTTTCAGAGCTAATGGTGAGGGCTTGGGCGACTCCCGTAACGAGTGGAGGAGAGACCAGAGGAGGGTTGGCCTCTGACTCGTTGCTTAATTGGGAGAACCGGTTGAACGTTTCTGTAGGCTGAATGAGCGACACTGGTTGAGCATGCCGACGGCATTTCTTTCCAGAAGCCTTTAGAATATTGTCCGGCTGCGGGGACTGTGCGGGGGCGATTTACACTACTATCTGTACTTACTGGTGGCACAGACGCTGTTTCATCCTATCCTACACTTAAATTGCCCTTGCCTAATGATTGCGTCTGAAGCTGGGCTTGCAAGTCGGCTATCCTCACCATAAGGCGATAGTTCTCCTGCATATTATGACTCCAGCGCCTGCAATTTGATGGCATCGCGTAAATTTTACTACTTAGCTTTTTCGGCTGGTGGAACTCCTGGAGAACCATGTCCAGATAAAGCGTCTGGGGTGAAAATGTATTTATGTGACAAAGGGATGTATAAGGTAGGCTGCTACAGCTAGCCTGGGTGCCAGTCTATCTTTGCTCTCTTGCCAACTCCTATAGAATTGGCTTGACAATGAGCAATGGGGTTGGCAAGAGCACAAACAGATCTGGGACCAGGCTATTCTACAGCTGCTTATTGCAACAAACATAACATTTCCCCATTTATCTGAGAAATATTCTGAAATAAGTCTTATAGAAATCCCACCCAGCATGGTAGCAGCCAGACAGCTATTGTTCCTTTGGTGGTCTGTCTGGTCAGTGTAGCAGCAGCACACATTGGGATAATAGAGCAAGGCCAATGTAAGGGTGGCTCTTATATGCCAGACTAAAATGTCACGCCGCTGCATAGAACAGAATGGGGCCATGCTTTAAAGCCTATTGAATAATCCCAGACTGGGGTGTAATCAGCGTGAAAGAACAGACCCAAACCTCCCCACACACACCACCACCACAGAGACTGAGCTTGTGTGTGTGTGTTTATGTGTGTGTGCGTGGGCTCCACAGAACAGAACAGTCTGTTAAAAATATCCAGTTCCGTTCAGCATGGAGCAGAGTGGAGAGGAGATAAACAACAAGAAAGGCCTTATTTCCCCTCTAAGCATTTTCAAAGAACTAAATCAAATGGAAAGTGGAGACACCACAACAAACATACGTATCTGTTCAAGTGTGTCACCGTGCTGATGCGCTGAAGGGGATCAATGGAGAAAAACTTAATATGATGTTCTGAGACATTCAGTCAGACGTTCAGTTCAGTGATTCAGACTGTTATACTATTAGAACTGAGAGACTGTGGTGAAATAATGATGAGGATATCATGTGTGTGTGTCTTCTGCATGAGTGAAATAAATGCTTTATTGTCACATACACCAGATAGGTGCAGTGAAATGTGTTGTTTTACAGGGTCAGCCATAGTAATACGGCGCCCCTGGAGCAAATTAGGGTTAAGTGCCTTGCTCAAGGGCACATCGACAGATTATTCACCTTGTTGGTTTGGGTATTCGAAACAGCGACCTTTCGGTTACTGGCCCAATGCTCTAACCACTGGGCTACCTGCCGCCCTAAAAAAGACAGTGTGTGACAGTGAAAGACAACGAATGAAAGACAGTGATTGAAATCTGAGTGAAAGAAAGAGTGTTTATGCGTGGCAGGCAGTGGATGTGGAAGGACTTCACTCAGACCCTGGCCTGCTGTGCACAGTGGGCCTACACATCCAGACAACCAAACAACCAAACCAATAGAGCATTCAAAGGAAAACAACATTTAAAGGGGCAATCTGGGATTTTGATCTCATGGATGGTCAGTCTTTGCATCCGTAGCTCTGTCTATGAATTTGAAAGTGGTTATATTTCTCCTGCCCTGTTTTGTTGTTGTTAGAATACCACTTTTGCCCATTTAGGAAATGCATGATGGAACTCAATAACAACTCACCTCTCCATGGAAGCTGTACCTCCCACTGAGTCTAGGCCTGCTGTCATTTTCGAAGGGCATGGAGCCACTGAGTAGGATGTAGGCAATGACCCTCAGGGCCAATATGTCCACCTGGCAGGAGTAGGGACTCCTCAGGACCACCTCTGGGGCCATGTACGCTGGGGTCCCACACGTGGTCCTCATTGACCAGTCTCTTCTACCGCCACCTCCTCCATCCCCTCTTAGATCCCTTCCATTGCTTCCACCACCCCCCTCCATCCCTTCTACTGCCCTTTCCATCCGATATTTGTGCTAGCTAGCCAACGTTTAATTTTTGCTGCGTTATGAAAGGAACTAGACACGGACACGAATTATCTGTTTAGTGTGTTAACACACTATTGGTAGTTTGTTGTAACCAAGTATTGGTGCTAAACTGTGTGTTATTGGATGCTAGCATGCTAGTTAGCTATGGTGTCATAGTTAGGCATCGTGGGCTGTTGTGGGTAGTTATTGTAGGTTAGCATTGTTTTCGGCGGTGCCGGGTGTAGCACGAAGCTAGCTAGCTAGCCGTTTTTCGAACAGAGTCAACACAGTAGCCATTGTGTGCTGTACTGTGGCAGCTAAATACAATATATTTGTGCTAGCTAGCCAACGTTTAATTATTGCTGCGTTATGAAAGGAACTAGACACGGACACGAATTATCTGCTTAGTGTGTTAACACACTATTGGTGGTTTGTTGTGACCAAGTGTTGGTGCTAAACTGTGTGTTATTGGATGCTAGCATGCTAGTTAGCTATGGTGTCATAGTTAGCTAGCTGAATAAAGTGGGTTGAGTCTATTCCTTGAAACATTGAACCGCTGTGGTTCACAACAATTCTGATTTCTAAAGGTGGAAGTTGGGAGAGTTTTTGTTCGGGTGGTTCAGTGAAACAATTATAGTTTCTGAGGTGGAAGTTTTGGTGAGGGAGGCCCTGCTCTCTCCTCTCCCAGATGTTTAGTTCATTTCATTCCGATCTCCTCTGCATTATTGTAGCCATTTGCTACAGCCTGTCAACTATACCTCTGCCTATCCCTGTTCTCTCCTCTCTGCACAGGCTACACAAACGCCTCACACCGCGTGGCTGCTGCCTCTCTAACCTGGTGGTCCCTGCACGCACCCCACACCTGGAGTTCCAGGTCTCAGGCAGCCTCTGGAACTGCCGTTCTGCTGCCAACAAAGCTGACTTCATCCCAGCCTATGCTAACCTCCAGTCCCTCGACTTCCTGGCGCTGACGGAAACATGGATTACCACTGAAAACACTGCTACTCCTACTGTTCTCTCCTCGTCTGAGCATGTGTTCTCGCATACCCCGAGAGCATCTGGTCAGAGGGGTGGTGGCACAGGAATCCTCATCTCTCCCAAGTTGTCATTCTCAATTTTTCCCCTAACCCATCTGTCTATCTCCTCATTTGAATTCCATGCTGTCACAGTCACTAGCCCATTTAAGCTTAATATCCTTGTCATCTATCGCCCTCCAGGTTCCCTTGGAGAGTTCATCAATGAGCTTGACGCCTTGATAAGTTCCTTTCCTGAGGATGGCTCACCCCTCACAGTTTTGGGGGATTTCAACCTCCCTACATCCACATTTGACTCATTTCTCTCTGCCTCCTTCTTTCCACTCCTCTCCTCTTTTGACCTCACCCTCTCACCGTCCCCTCCTACTCACAAGGCAGGCAATACGCTTGACCTCATCTTTACTAGATGCTGCTCTTCTACTAATCTCACTGCAACTCCCCTCCATGTCTCTGACCACTACTTTGTTTCCTTTTCTCTCTCGCTCTCCTCCAACACTACTCACTCTGCCCCTACACAGATGGTAATGCGCCGCCGCAACCTTCGCTCTCTCTCTCCCACTACTCTCTCCTCTTCCATCCTATCATCTCTTCCCTCTGCTCAATCCTTCTCCCTCCAATCTCCTGATTCTGCCTCCTCAACCCTCCTCTCCTCCCTTTCTGCATCCTTTGACTCTCTGTGTCCCCTATCCTCCCGGCCGGCTCGGTCCTCCCCTCCAGCTCCGTGGCTTGATGACTCATTGCGAGCTCACAGAACAGAGCTCCGGGCAGCGGAGCGGAAATGGAAGAAAACTAAACTCCCTGCCGACCTGGCATCTTTTCACTCCCTCCTCTCTACATTTTCTTCATCTGTTTTCTGCTGCTAAGGCCACTTTCTACCACTCTAAATTCCAAGCATCTGCCTCTAACCCTAGGAAGCTCTTTGCCACATTTTCCTCCCTGCTGAATCCCCCCCCCCCCCCCTCCTCTCTCTCTGTGGATGACTTCGTCAACCACTTTGAAAAGAAGGTTGACGACATCCGATCCTCGTTTGTTAAGTCTAATGACACTGCTGGTCCTACTCACACTGCCCTACCCTATGCTTTGACTTCTTTCTCCCCTCTCTCTCCAGATAAAATCCTGCGACTTGTGACTGCAGGCCGCCCAACAACCTGCCCGCTTGACCCCATCCCCTCCTCTCTTCTCCAGACCATCTCCGGTGACCTTCTCCCCTACCTCACCTCGCTGATCAACTCATCCTTGACCGCTGGCCATGTCCCTTCCGTCTTCAAGAGAGCGAGAGTTGCACCCCTTCTCAAAAAACCAACACTCGATCCCACTGATGTCAACAACTACAGACCAGTATCCCTTCTTTCTTTTCTTTCCAAAACTATTGAGCGTGCCGTCTTTAGCCAACTCTCTTGCTATCTCTCTCAGAATGACCTTCTTGATCCAAACCAGTCAGGTTTCAGGACTGGTCATTCAACTGAGACTGCTCTTCTCTGTGTCACGGAGGCTCTCCGCACTGCTAAAGCTAACTCTCTCTCCTCTGCTCTTGTCCTTCTAGACCTGTCTGCTGCCTTTGATACTGTGAACCATCAGATCCTCCTCTCCACCCTCTCCGAGCTGGGCATCTCCGGCGCGGCTCACTCCTGGATTGCGTCCTACCTGACCGGTCGCTCCTACCAAGTGGCGTGGCGAGAAGCTGTCTCTGCACCACGTGCTCTCACCACTGGTGTCCCCCAGGGCTCAGTTCTAGGCCCTCTCCTATTCTCCCTATACACCAAGTCACTTGGCTCTGTCATATCCTCACATGGCCTCTCCTATCATTGCTACGCTGATGATACACAACTAATCTTCTCCTTTCCCCCTTCTGATAACCAGGTGGCGAATCGCATCTCTGCATGTCTGGCAGACATGTCAGTATGGATGACGGATCACCACCTCAAGCTGAACCCTGGCAAGACGGAGCTGCTCTTCCTCCCGGGGAAGGACTGCCCGTTCCATGATCTCGCCATCACGGTTGACAACTCCGTTGTGTCCTCCTCCCAGAGTGCGAAGAGCCTTGGCGTGACCCTGGACAACACCCTGTCGTTCTCCGCTAACATCAAGGCGGTGACCCGATCCTGCAGGTTCATGCTCTACAACATTCGGAGAGTACGACCCTGCCTTACACAGGAAGCGGCACAGGTCCTAATCCAGGCACTTGTCATCTCCCGTCTGGATTACTGCAACTCGCTGTTGGCTGGCCTCCCTGCCTGTGCCATTAAACCCCTACAACTCACCCAGAATGCCGCAGCCCGTCTGGTGTTCAACCTTCCCAAGTTCTCTCACATCACCCCCCTCCTCCGCACACTCCACTGGCTTCCAGTTGAAGCTCGCATCCGTTACAAGACCATGGTGCTTGCCTATGGAGCAGTGAGGGGAACGGCACCTCCGTACCTTCGGGCTCTGATCAGTCCCTACACCCAAACGAGGGCATTGCGTTCATCCACCTCTGGCCTGCTGGCTCCCCTTCCTCTGCGGAAGCATAGTTCCCGCTCAGCCCAGTCAAAACTGTTCGCTGCTCTGGCACCCCAATGGTGGAACAAGCTCCCTCACGACGCCAGGACAGCGGAGTCACTCACCACCTTCCGGAGACATTTGAAACCCCACCTCTTTAAGGAATACCTGGGATAGGATAAAGTAATCCTTCTACCCCCCCCCCCCCCCCCCCCCCCCCCCCCAAAAAAAAAAAAAAAAAAGAAAAAAAAGTGTAAAGTGGTTATCCCACTGGCTATAGGGTGAATGCACCAATTTGTGGGTCGCTCTGGATAAGAGCGTCTGCTAAATGACGTAAATGTGCCCTTGAGCAAGGCACTTAACCCTAATTGCTCCTGTAAGTCGCTCTGGATAAGAGCGTCTGCTAAATGACTAAAATGTAAATGTAAATGTAATCCATCACCACCGCCCTCACCATCCACACTTCCTACCTCACCACCCGAACCTCCACACAGACCTCCACCCCTTCCACTGCCTCCTCCAACCTCACTATCTCCAACTCCACCTCCGCCTCCGCCTTCGCCATCTCCACTTCCACCATCTCCACTGCCCCCTCCGTCTCCACCTCCACCCTCACCCCCTCCAGGGTCCCTGTTCCCAAAGCTGGACAGCCCTAAGTCAGTCACCAGAAGGCGTGAGTCAGCTCCATGGTGGTAGTACAACAGATTCTCAGGTTTCAGGTCTCTGTGTGTGATGCCCAGAGAGTGAAGATACCCCACTACGGCAAGCGTCATCTGCGGGGCACGAGTAGCATCACGCTCAGTGAAGTGGCCCTTAGCAATGACACGGTCAAACAGCTCCCTGCCCGTGGCCAGTTCCAACATCACGTAGACCCTCTGAGGCGACTGGAACACCTCCACCAGCTGCACCACATTGGGGTGGCTCACCCTGCCCAGTACCCCCAGCTCCGATTCACACACCTCGAGCCCCTTCCTGGCTTCCACCTCCATCATCTTGATTGTGAAGGGCTGGCGGGTTGCACGGTGCTCGACGCGCACCACCCGGCTGAAGCGACCGTGACCTATCAGGGCCTTGATGTCATACCTGGAAGGGCAGGGAAGGATCAGAGATGGGCGTGTGTGGGAAATAGAATGGTATTCCATTCTGTTATTTTCTATAGTCAATTCTATTCTTGTGAAATTAGGAAGCCTATGGGAAATAATATATTGAAAAGAGATTGTAGAATCATCATCATCATCATCATCATCATCATCAACATGATCCTTATCATCAACCATAACAACTACATCAGCAGCAACAAATTATATCTACACATACCTGCACACATGAATTTGCACTGATTTATATTATACTACTGATCTTCAACTGTAACGGTTTTCCACAATTACCTTGCTGTGACTCGGGGATCAAACTTCGCCCTGTACTTAGCCACTTTGTTGTGCCTCTGCTGCCCATCCTGGGCCATCGATTGTTGAATGTGTGAAGGCGCCTGGTTAACTCTGATGCTCCAAAGGGCTTTCTGCTTCCCTTTACACTTCTGTGGCTCATCATCAAACTCTTTTCTTTTGTGACCGTAGCCCACTACTGACTTCACGAAACTCACGCAACCAATTTTCAAGGGGCTCTGGTAGCACTTTGCTGGTCCCTCAACCCATTACTAAAATGCTAAAAATGATATAAAGTGAGAGTTGTCGCTTGCTTAACTGCACGCACAAACTTTGACAATCTCACGAGACTTCTCATGCTCGGTATGCGTCTGCAGCAGTCAACTTTAGCCTATACTATAACACATAAACGGCTAAATTCATGAAGAGGAGACGTGTATTTCAAACAGACTTGGGTGTAGACAGTTATGAGAAGAAGAGTGAGTGAGCAGATGAAGACAAGATAGACAGGTGACTGGTGTTTAGAATGTGTGAATGGATTCACTGAAAGGGATTTTCTCGCATTTCTCTCACGCAGGTGCACAAGGTGAGAATGCACTTCCATTTTTTAAAACATTTTAGTCATTTAGCAGACGCTCTTATCCAGAGCGACTTACAGGAGCAATTAGGGTTAAGTGCCTTGCTCAAGGGCACATCGACAGATTTTTCACCTAGTCGGCTCGGGGATTAGATCTAGCGACGTTTCGGTTCCTGGCACAACGCTCGGTTCCTGGCACAACGCTCTTAACCACTAAGCTACCTGCCACTTCCACTCTTCCACATCAGTCAGGTGCCAAAAATAAAGCATTCTTGAACTGATAGTTGTCATTTCTGAAACTAACACTACTTTCTGTCCTCTCTTCCGTGTTATGCTACCTGCAATGGTGACCACTGGCCATGCGGGGCAAGCCATTATTCATCACTGATGCGGCAAACCAATTATGAGATAATGGTTTTCATCACGGCTCCGTCTCCTCTGCCAACGCCGTGGGCTATCTCCTGAGCTATACGCCCATTCATTTCGCATCGGCGCTGCTTGAACGGCTTCTCTATCTGTCCCTGCATCCACACTGAAGATCATGGGGTGTTGGTCCTCTGGTTCCTACAAATGCTATATTAGATTAGACGCCAAGGAGATGAGTGATGATTTCATCTGTGAGATTGGTATAGTTTACCACGCTCACTGTCAGTAGGCTATTTTATATTGATGCTTTGCTTGGGCAGTGAGCTACCCTGAAGGAGCAGAGCCTATATCGCCAAGACTTGCATTATTCGTTGCTTAATAAATGGTTAAACATATTTACACATGGCATTTTTTTTTCTGAAATGTATTAATGACAACATTCAAGCTGACAACAACTCGGACTGCTGGTCTCTACACATGATAGGCACATTTCCTCTCGGTTCAATTGCTGTTTACCACACCAGTCTGTAAGCGCCTTATTTTTTTTTACAGGAATGGAGAAATGTTATTTATTTATTTCAGCATCTTGAGAGAATTAATGCGCGGTTAGGGACCATCTGTAAAGGTGGCGGTGCTATCTTTATCAGCATCATAAAAGCTGGTAGTATTTCTACCACAAATAATATGCTTCCAAGCCGAACTGAAATCTCATCAAAAACATGTTGGGTCGTTTTTAACAGCTTTTAATTTCTTTAAAACCGGTCAAATTGATATCATTTGGAAATTATTGCATTTTCTCCCTGGTCCCTAAACGTCTTTGCCACGCCAATCAGAGATGAAAACAAACTTTACCGATGTTAACTAGATTGAAGCATTCATTCTATCAATTTATGACATTATTCTGGTGAGCAAAGGTTTATTTAGTCTTCTAAGACAACAAATAAAGCTGGGACAATAAACTGAAAATTATCAACACCAACTATACCAATCTATACCCTAACCCTAACCCTATTTTGCTGATATCGTTCATTACGATAACTAGCCTATACTAGAGAAATGTGAAGTTTGAAATTAAATAAGTTTGCTAATATGGGTGATTGTTAATGGGTCAATTAAAGTGTAGAACCATCAAACTAACAGTGGTGCACATTGTTATAAACGTATCTTTCTATTTATTGTTATCACATCAATTCAGGCAATTTATTCCGATACGGATTTTTGTCCATATCGCCCAGCTCTAGCAACAAGTAATGACAGAAGAGAAGCTGCATGTATCTAATTATAGACAAGTTGACTAAGAAATAGCCAAACAAAATGTCGGAAATTGTAAGCAGAAACATAAGCCTTCCTAAAAAGGCCTGTCAAAAAACATTTAGCCATCTCTGACGCTACAGTGTATTTTCTATATTTGCAGGTTAGGGTCAGGTGCGGCCCTCACATTTTCACTTTATCACATATAGTCGGGTGGTTGAGGATTGGTTATTAGCAAATGCGGTTGGGTGCGGGTGAACAAACAGCTGACCCGCGCATCACTAACACACACATAGAGTCTCAACCCAACAGAGGATACACATCAGATCATCAGCCAGGCGGTAAATCGTCCTTCAGAAGGCCTCCTCAGGGAGTCAGTAGTTAAGTGTTATCAAACCACTATCTGATTACTAAAAGGCTGTCCCCTATTATAGATTAACCACAACATGTGTGTGTGGTGTTGGTAATGCAGTTTGCTGTGTGGGTTTGTGTGTTTGTGTGTTGATAATGCCGTTTGCTGCCTGCCGTGTGCTTTTGAGTCCTTGGGAGAGTAAACCCTTCAGGAAAAAAATACATGAATTTCACGTGATCATGTGTTTCACAGCAAAATTTCAACATGTGATACCATGAAACTACACTTGAAATTGTATTTATATATATACAGTGAGGGAAAAAAGTATTTGATCCCCTGCTGATTTTGTACGTTTCCCCACTGACAAAGAAATGATCAGTCTATAATTTTAATGGTAGGTTTATTTGAACAGTGAGAGACAGAATAACAACAAATAAATCCAGAAAAACGCATGTCAAAAATGTTATAAATTGTACTGTACATCGCAATATTTTAGTTTAGAATTCTTGTTCTCAAATTTGTTGAGGCTGTTACCAGAAGATACCACTTGTTTTAGCTGACCAAAATAAATCACACTAACGTCTAGAATGTAGGGTGACCATTTAAAATACCCAAATGCGGGACAACAAGATGATTTTGCGGGACATTCACGGGACAGTCTAGCCCACATGAATACAAAATGTTGACCGCGTTCTTCACGTTTTACCAGTGAAACCCCAAACTGAATCTGCATGCCAATCATTTGATCTCAATCAGTTTCATGGGAATATGCATTTAGATCTTCTTCAATTCATTTTCGTGAGCAAATTAGAGCAGATGGTCTTAACAAAATATATAGCCTTCCTGTATTTGGTTTCAACCCAAGCAAATAGAGTATCTCAGTATGAGTCATAATAACCATAAAACCTAGTGATCAAATAGGGAAATGGTTCCAATCGTTTTTCAACCATTCATTTTTCCCATAGGGGATTTTAAATCTCTCTAGGACAAGGTGACTTTTATCAATATATTCGCCTCTAATTATCCCTCAAAATGAAATGCTAATAAGCTGCTAATGTGGCTATCATAAAGAACTACAAATGCCATGATGATCTGGACGAGACTGCCGAATCGAGGCAAAGGTAAGAATCTCCGGATTAACTATCTAATGTTAGCTAAATGTAGTAATGAATAAATTGGGAACATTTCTGGAAATTGACAATTCTTTGAACTGTCTTGTGCAAGTTTTAAATTGACACAATATCGGTTAGCAAAGGTGACAGCTAGAGATGACGTGCAGGTGCTTGCAGGGATTTGTAGTTTTGCATGATGTCTACTTTGATACTAATTAGCATTTTCAAATCTGAGATTAAATAGAGCAGAATATATTGATAAAAGTCACCTTGTCCTAGAGAGATTTACATGGTTATCAAAACGTCACACCAGGGTAAACCTACACGAAACACAGCCCTTAACTTAAATGTTTTTCCTTTAATCCCCTATGGGAAAATGAATTGTAGAAAAACGATTGGAACCATTTCCCTGTTTGACGACTAGGTTTTATGGGTATTATGACACCTCCACTGTGGGGCTCTATTCTGCCTAGTGGCGCACGCTGTTTTGGCCCATAAGATTCAATTTTTTTGTCTATTCAGCTTACCATCCTAAAATCTCATTATAAATTACTAAAGTGGTGTTATTGGTGTAACAGTAATGTTATATTATGCTATTATATTTGGTTCTGTTACAGTGAGGGGGAAAAGTATTTGATCCCCTGCTGATTTTGTACGTTTGCCCACTGACAAAGACATGATCAGTCTATAATTTTAATGGTAGGTGTTTTTGAACAGTGAGAGACAGAAAAAAAAACAAAAAAATCCAGAAAGACGCATGTCAAAAATGTTATAAATTGATTTTCATTTTAATGAGGGAAATAAGTATTTGACCCCTCTGCAAAACATGACTTAGTACTTGGTGGCAAAACCCTTGTTGGCAATCACAGAGGTCAGACGTTTCTTGTAGTTGGCCACCAGGTTTGCACACATCTCAGGAGGTATTTTGTCCCACTCCTCTTTGCAGATCTTCTCCAAGTCATTAAGGTTTCGAGGCTGACGTTTGGCAACTCGAACCTTCAACTCCCTCCACAGATTTTCTATGGGATTAAGGTCTGGAGACAGGCTAGGCCACTCCAGGACCTTAATGTGCTTCTTCTTGTGCCACTCCTTTGTTGCCTTGGTCGTGTGTTTTGGGTCATTGCCATGCTGGAATACCCATCCACGACCCATTTTCAATGCCCTGGCTGAGGGAAGGAGGTTCTCACCCAAGATTTGACGGTACATGGCCCCGTCCATTGTCCCTTTGATGCGGTGAAGTTGTCTTGTCCCCTTAGCAGAAAAACACCCCCAAAGCATAATGTTTCCACCTCCATGTTTGACGGTGGGGATGGTGTTCTTGGGGTCATAAGCTGCATTCCTCCTCCTCCAAACGCGGCGAGTTGAGTTGATGCCAAAGAGCTCGATTTTGGTCTTATCTGACCACAACACTTTCACCCAGTTCTCCTCTGAATCATTCAGATGTTCATTGGCAAACTTCAGACGGGCCTGTATATGTGCTTTCTTGAGCAGGGGGACCTTGCGGGCGCTGCAGGATCTCAGTCCTTCACGGCGTAGTGTGTTACCAATTGTTTTCTTGGTGACTATGGTCCCAGCTGCCTTGTGATCATTGACAAGATCCTTCCGTGTAGTTCTGGGCTGATTCCTCACCGTTCTCATGATCATTGCAACTCCACGAGGTGAGATCTTGCATGGAGCCCCAGGCTGAGGGAGATTGACAGTTATTTTATGTTTCTTCCATTTGCGAATAATCGCGCCAACTGTTGTCACCTTCTCACCAAGCTGCTTGGCGATGGTCTTGTAGCCCATTCCAGCCTTGTGTAGGTCTACAATCTTGTCCCTGACATCCTTGGAGAGCTCTTTGGTCTTGGCCATGGTGGATAGTTGGGAATCTGATTGATTGATTGCTTCTGTGGACAGGTGTCTTTTATACAGGTAACAAGCTAAGATTAGGAGCACTCCCTTTAAGAGATCAAATACTTATTTCCCTCATTAAAATGCAAATCAATTTATAAAAAATTTTAAATGCATTTTTCTGGATTTTTTTGTTGGTATTCTGTCTCTCACTGTTCAAATAAACCTACCATTAAAAGTATAGACTGATCATTTCTTTGTCAGTGGGCAAACGTACAAAATCAGCAGGGGATCAAATACTTTTTTCCCTCACTGTATGTAGAATACTAATTAATCATTATGTGATCTTCCAATACATTGATTCAGCTTTGATCGAACTTTACTAATCGAGCACCATTGTGAGAAGTGGGAGAGCTCGTTTAAGCAGCATTACACCCCTACTCCCGCTGCACCAAACAGCTATACTCTTTTGCCACGCAAAAAATTGGGTGATTGTCACGCTCTGGCTCCGGGACTCTGTATATTGAGACAGGGTGTGTTTATTCATTGGGTGTATTTCTATGTTGGT